GGAGCTTGAATGACGTTTAAGGAGCATCACTTCTTAATCGGTTCATGTTTTTGTTGCTAATCCAGGGGATGATCATGAGTTCTCAGCTGAACCCGCATGATGTCACATGTTTGTGTTATGGAGTTGAGCTGTTTGTGAATGATTCTTGCCAGGTTTTCGGAGTGACTTTTTAGGGGGGAAAAGTTTTTTTTGTGTGTAGAGGATGACTCACGACCAGTTTGCCTAGATTGAAATGTGGGGTAGGCCTGTTGCTTTTGGGTTCGTTCGCATGGTGGAGCAAATGTCATCATCGGTCAGAATATTCAGCAGCAGAATGTCTGTGCCTTTTCTGTCCATTTGAAAGCAAATTGTCTATAGCTGATTTGAATGAATCATGTTTTTTTAAAATTGGCAATACCTTGCTTTCATCCTGTGCCATATGAGCAATTGTAGTGGTAGCTACAAAGCAAATGTTTGACTTCATTTGTCCACGCAAAATCATAGACGAGAGTTCGATGTTGACCCTAATGTATGATATTTTAAGGCTTATGCAATCAAGCTGTTTGGAGGAAGTATGCCAAGTAAGATGATGAGTAGGTTTCATGGAAGTTAAATGTTCGAAGTTGGTTTAAAGATGATGAGATTATATATTCTTCGGTTCTCTATTGATGAATACAGATATTTAAATGATTAAGGCATTAATTTATCAGTTACCAATTCCCTCAGATAGGACTCAAAGCCATAGGTTCCCAGGTTGCTCATCCACAAGCATGCCCTTGCTTCCTTCGCAAACTTTGTAAACAACAACAACATTATAGCAAGGACTTATTACAGCAAGCAGAGAAAATTACGAAGCGGCAGGATTCACTGCCCTCTTTCAACAGGACTTTAAAGGATCTTCATCAAGAGCATTGACTTGTCGAATTACCCTGAGGTATAGGCTGTTGAGCACGTGCAAGAGTAATAAAGGAAAGCATTACATAACATCTTGTGACAGTTAGGTTTTGCCCTCCCGGCGCAATGGGGGTGAGCCCCCCTTAGCTATATGCATCATTTATTGGAACCCATCCCCAATTTTATAAATAGAGGCCGAGCCATGGCTGGCTGCCAGCTGCGTAATATTTGGGAAAGTGTGGAGATACATAATCTCACACTTGCTTAACAACTTCATCCTATTCGGCAATTCAGTATATGTATGAGGTGCCATCAGAAGTTGAAAGCTCCTGTTTTAAAGCATTGCCTGTATCAAGTTATGAACTTGTGTAACATCTGGAAATTCAATTTTCAGGATTTAACAGCTAAACTTCTTGTTTAATTTGTTATATTTTTGTTCACATAAAAGAGATATGTCTTCATGAAGTGATTTACCAGCAGCCCAAGAAGAGCAGATGTAGAATGAACACAGTGGACATTTAAACATGAGTGGAGGAGACTTTTGATTCTGCATAAATGTTGTCAAAGCCATCAGGGTACCAATCTAACTTTTATATGAATCTTGCTTCTTTTGATGCAATGGATAGTCAAGATGCAGAATTCATCTTCAACTTTACACCGTCGACGGTGATCTGAAAGTATGGACTCATTTGAAGGATTAAGTCTAATTGTTGATGATCTAACTTTAAGATATGACTTCCTACTTTGACTGACTAATTAAGATGTTGGTCAGTATTGGACATAACATCGGTGACGTTGGACATTCATGATTCAATTTATGAGGATCTTATGCTATGGCTCTGGTGAACCTGCGATACCAGGAGGGTTAAGATGGCAACAAAGACATTACTGTCACTTGTTATTAGGGTTCCGGTTCAAACCCCATCACCTCAAGAGTGCTCGGGTTCATCATCGTGATCTACGGAACACATGAGACTATATCATCCACTGTCGGACTAAGCAAACAGGAAACGCACTTCTCACGAGACGCGACGATGCTCTGGCCTAAAGCGTAGCATAAGGTGGGACGGACGGACCTCTGAAGTGTGAGTGACTCCTTGCCCCTTGCTCCAGCTCATCAAACAATTTAGAGATCAATTAAGGAAGAGGATATGCACCAAGACATTTATCCACCATAGTCATAGCTGCTGCATTACAGTGTGCTTTCAGAGCTGGTTATCCAATCAGTTATAAACGGATGGCTTTTGGAAATAAATTGTAAAAGCCTTTGTTAAAATTACCAGGTTTAGTAATACAACAACTCTCAGCCAAGATTTGGATGGTAAAGGAAGTGATTGGAATGTTATTCATTTAGGAAGTCACTTACTTGGAGGACTGAATTGACCAGTATAATGTGATGATCTTGACCTCATTATTTGTTAACGTCATTCCAGCTTTTTTGGAATTGCTTGGATACAAAGATCGAAGGAGAGTTATTTTGGTGTTGACATGTTGTGAATTAGATTATTGATGATAAAATGAAGACAATGCTTCTTGTGTGAGAGGCGTCCAAATATAGATTGGAATATCTTCAGTTATACATGATTGCTATCTTCAATATATTGATATAACAGTAAACTGATTTAATGGTCTATTAGTACAATACATTGTGTGGATTTTCATGAGACTGCCAGAAGACGTCACATCAATTTACCCTTGACTTTGAGATATTTCTCCAGGTTCGCCACAGTGACGCCAAGATCTCTTGATCAAGTTTGATAATTTTTTATACCACCTATCATTCAGTATGGCAAAACGAAGGAACGCAGAGAAGTGCAAAGAGCTTGCACAGCACAGACCCCTCTCCAAGGCTTTCAGCCAGAATGATGCTAGCTTCTGTACTGATCCAACCTTTACCAAGTTTTTCAAAACACAGAAGGATCCAGTCATGGAAGAAGCAAGTGCTGTTGCCTCGGCTAACACAGACTCAACACTGCTCCAGAAGATCTGGCAAAAGTTGTCTAGCTTGGATAAGATTGAGAACAAGGTTGATACAGCCCTGAAAAGACTTGACCGTCTAGAGCAACATGCTCAGGACTTCTCACAAGACTTGGAGCCAAGTCACCATAAACTGAAGGAAGAGTTGTTGCTCACCAAAGAGGTGATTCAAGATATTATTCCTAACCTGCCAGAATTCTCAGAAAATGGCTTCGTTAAAAATGATGATGAGGAGCAGGATGGCTGTGATCATTTCAGTGGACCTCAAACTCTTGATGAGATTACACTTCAAAATTTGGAAAGAAATGGCAGAGATGATTTTGAACCGGAGTTGTTTTTCATGGAGGAGGAGATGGGAGACTTATGCACCAGCCTACATACTCCTAGTCCGGATCGGAAATCGATGGATGTCATGTATCTTGTGGACTTCCCGAACAGTAACGATCGACTAGATACACCTTCCACTCCATTCTCAGAGACATATGATTTAGTTAGTCCTGTGGGTGCCCCTTCAGAGTTCTACCCCAATTTGTCAGAGATTTCTGGTAGTAATGATCATGATGACTTTACAGTACAAGGAGCATCTATCAAGGATGCCTCCGAGGTTGGTGATGAGGAGGATTATGAAGAATATTATGAGGATGAGGATGAGGAAGAGCAAGACAGTGAAGATGATTACTGGAGGCTGTGTCCAAATGAACAAGTCAACCAGTATGGAATGAGTACTATTCAAAGGACTAGCATGGGTCTCCTGGAACAGATCTCCAGATTACAGGAGGAACTTGGTGTGAGTGCTGTTGAAGATGAGGATACTGAGAGCACTGAGGAGGAAGTTCACGAACATGGACTAGAGACTATGGTAGGTGGATATCCTTGTGCTCCGGGTTTCGAAGATGTACCAGTATTTCTTCCTGATATTGATGCCATGATGCAAAATCAAATGGATGATGATGAATTAGAAATGCCACATTCTGTAGCAGACCTGTCTGATGTGGCAGATCTTGAGGACATCGCAGTAAAACTTCGTCATGCCTCACTTGGAGATGAAGATGCGGATGTGGACTATATGACAATTGAGGAGTTTCAAATGATTTCAGGAGATTTAACCTCCAAGTCTTCTAATGAATCAACCATAACTTTGCCATCAAGGCAGGTTCTTGTGAAAGGCATCTCTGCATCCCCAGGTCCTCTGAAGAACTCTTCAGGTCAGAGTAGCGATAACGATGATAGTTGGGAGAATGATTATGACGATAGCGAAGACAATTCTAAAGAGGATAGTGTTGCAAACGGTCACTCATTTCATATTCATGGAATGACAATCGGTAGTGGTTATGATGGTAGCTCTGAAAGAACTCTTTCTGGTCCTTACATTGGGGAGGTACCTTTGAACCGTCCTCCAAGTGATTTCTATAGTTTTCAGGGAAATGTAGGGTCAGATGTCAGTTGTGGAAGAACAGTCTCTTTGTTGTCTGAAGAGTCTGTTCCGTTTGTAACGCCACTTGATTCATTTGATATTGACCATGATCATGGAGGTGGTGGCATAAAAGGTTTTGTCAGTGAGGGAAAATCAGTACCGGTGGAGAAACAGAATGGTGAGACACATGTAAACAAAGTAGAGAGTGATAATGTTAAGAGTAAAAGTACTTCGGATTCAATTGAAACTGTTGAGCCTGAACTTGAAAATGTTGAACAGCAGCCTCGTTCAATTTCTGAAAAGATAAACTCTCTCAATGCTGCATTTGCACAAAATTGGGGTATGAAGACAAATTTCAAAAAGAGGTCTTTGATAAAGAAATTCCGGAAATCACTTGAAAGGAAAAGTGTAAGTGATTCTGATGGTAATGACAATAGTAATAGTGGGGAGAGTGTGGTATCAGACAGTGTTTTAACAATCTCTGAGGCAAGGAAAGCCTTTGAAGAAAGGGCGCAGCAGATAAAGAGGAAAAAAACGCTACTCAAGAAAAAAATGTCGTCGGTAGAGACGCATCTTGGGAGAGCAAGTTCCGTGATCAAATCAGGGGATGTCCCTTCAGGATCTTCATCCCACTCCTGCCACCAAGATACTAGCATTGATACCAAGTCAGAACATGAAACAGTTGCTAAGCAACCATTAGGCAATATCACTAAAATACAGAAACATTTTTCAACAGGTATCGGTAGAGATGTAACCCCACCCCACCTGCCACTGGAGCAGCTACCTCCAAACCTGGAAAATGGAATGGGACACCAGGTTAGGTCAAAGGTCAATGGGGTATATGATCAGGAAGAGAGCAAACTGAATGGGGGTGATGGCTTAGATCAAGTGCCACCTTCCCCAGTGGAGGAAGTTGAAGCAGATAAACATGAGGAAAGCTATTATGCAATTGTGAACAGAAGTTCTGATGATGAGGGTAATGATGTAAAGACCGATGCACTGCAGGATCCGGAATATGCTGAGCCAACTTTTCCACAGGACCCTGATCATGGGTATGCGGAACCACAAACACATAGTCCCGTTGTCAAGGAAGAAACATTATATAGCTCAGTAACGGATACTGCAGTGGAGTCACATGGTGTGATAGATAATGGGGAAGAGACAAATCCTAGTATCAATGTTGACACAATGGCCAATAAAAATGAAGTGCTAAATAGACCCGGTTATGAGGATACAAGCAGAAGTTCAGCACAGAAAAACAGAGATAATGACTATGAGATAATTACACCTATGCAGATTAAACCTCAGTGCGCTCAGATTAAGAAGGAAGTACCTGTAGATGTGTGTGAGAAAGATGCCTATATATCTAAATCTGCTAGCAGAGAAGATATACGGTGGGACTCTCCAGACTTGATCAAAACTCTACCAGATGTGCCTTTGAAAGCAAAACCCGGTGTGTTTCAGAAGAAGGAAGAAAAGATGGAGCAAGAGAAGGATGTGGTAGAGAAGAAGGATGAGGTGCAAGTTGTTCGTAACCTGTTACCTAGTGAGATCAAGAAGCAGCAGGCCGGATCAACAGGCATGAAGGTTAAAAGATCCAATGTGAACAAGCTCAACACTCAAACACCTCCTAAACCTAAACCTGACCCAAATCCCCCTCAGAGTTCTGTGGATTCCTCAAAAATTGAAGTTGTGCACCGTCCACCCGGATCCCGTCGCGCCAGAATCATCCGCAGCTATCTAGAACTGGAGAGGATTAAGAGAGAAGGTGTTAACCGAGCGGATGGAAAGCCAATCCAGATCACCGCTCCTAGCATGTCCATGATGGGATCAGGGATGAAGGGTGTGAATGGGGCTGGTGGGGGTGTGAGAGGGTCAGATGCTATGCTAGAAGATATGATCAACCTTCAGCTCATGCAGGCCATGGGTGTCAACCCTCACACCATCGCCATACCTGCTGTGGATACCACCTCTAAATCCACGCCCCCATCGCGCCCCTCCCATCTCCCAGTCCCAACCCCCATTAAGACAACCAAACCTGTCCCCAAGCAACCCCCCTCCAGATTACAAACCTCAGGACCATCTCATGGTATCGCTAAGATGCTCAACCGCTTTGGGGAGAGCTCTGCATCTGCTCCCAAACCAGCTTTTCAGGGTTTCCATAGCAACGGGAAGACAAGTACCGCTCCGGCTTCCAAGGGACTGAGGAAGACTCCAGTTAGGAATGCTTTCAATATTGAGATGAAAGATGGAGAAGTGGAAGTGAATTTAAAGGATGATAACAGACAGCTCTTGATGAATAAGTTGGCATCCCATTCTAGAGGGAAAGGCAAGTTACCTTAGAATCACACCCATCCCTCAGCATCGTGGAATACGAGATTTAGATCCATTACATCAGTTTGAAATATTGAGATTAAACTTGCATGGTAGCACCCTCTCTGCATCTTGGTTCATATTTTTCATTTGTTCGTTTTGTAAGGCAAATTAGACTCTCCTCTGTGATATCTGAATATACTTGCTTGTTTTTGTATTGATTCTTCCAAAGGCTGAATATTGCATGGCTTAGTGTGAAGTTTTAGAGTTTCTTAACCAGTAGAGAATGAATGATGTTAGTACTACATGTATATTTGAATTTTGAATTTTTGAAAGTGAGGAATGCAAAATTGGTGGCATGTTTGCATTCTCATAACTTTTCACTCTCTTATTTCTCATTGTAAAATATCATACATGTACTATTTTGTTCAATAGCACATTTCCCTTGTAAAATGATTGTTTTATGTGAGTTATATACATATGTCATTGTTACCTCCATTTATCATTTCAAATATTTATGTTTTTGGAGAAAATGTATTACTTGAAGAGTTGATTTTGCTTGTCACTTCAAAGGAAATACAGTCAAACCTGCTGATAAAGACTACATGGAAAAACAATATTATTCAGTACAGGTTCTGTTCAAGTCAAAAACTATTCCAGAGAAATGAAATTGATGATCTTTCTGTACAAGTGGTCTTTCCTTGTAGGTACCTCTTTAGTACAGTTTCCAATGATAAATGCCATTCGAGGGACATTAAGATATTGGTCTTTATAGACAAGTAGGGGTCAAAGCAGGTTTGACTGTAGTATGACTTGGACAAAATAACAGGGATTTGAGTTATACTTTGAAAAAGAAATTAAGTTTGGTTGGAAAGGAGAAGGGGTGAATATTATATTTCTCTACATAATATGTCATGTGTTTCCATTTCAATCATTGTTGACAGTAGGCCTGTATGCTAATATTTTTTCATTCATACTCTATAAAATAATTGTACAATGTTGAGTTCAACAATGATCTGATGCTTCAGTGTACCAGCATATATAAGAATGATATTTTAAATTAAGGAAAATACTTGAACCCTCAATTTTGTCACGCGGCGCGCTGTCCTAAATTTCTCACCATCATTACCTCTTTAATTTTTATAGCTACCGGTATTTTAAAGTGGGTAACACAATCATGCATTAGGTGATAAATCATCAGGTTTATTAGCTATACGTGCTATAATGAAAGTAGTAATGAAAGTGATATTGATAAAAGAAGACAGCGTGTTAACCCTCATGCTGTGATGCTACTTGTACTCCAACATTAATTACGTTTGCTTGAACACTATAATTATGTTGCAGTATTTTATAGAATTTTGCTAGGAATTTGTTGTACCCATTCCTCATTTACAGCATAGTTTTAATTAACTCTGCACAACTTCTGAAGGAAAATTAAGCCCCGTCCTTTTCCCCCTGACATGATCATGTGCATTATTTAAGCAACAACAAAGCAAAGGTTTAATAAATAAGAGAAATCATTCTTTGAAGTTTCATTAAATAATAATTAAGAAAGTTGTACCTATGTGAAGAGTTGAAGCTTACTTATTTAAACTTTCCAACTTTCATTCCTTTTGTGAGCTCCTCTTCCCTCGCTTCGCAATGATTAGAAAGAAATACATCTCTATTTGATCATTAGAGAATGAATGCTTTTCATTAGAGGAGGGTAGACATCCCCTCGGTTTAACTCTTCTGTGAAAGAGTGCAATGCAAAGGAAGTGAGGAAACAATGACACAGGAATGTCATTGTTTCAAGGCCAGATTTAATTCAGGTTTGAAAGATTTCATCCATCTAGGGAAATGGTCAATCATCTTTGATAAATATTATGACCCATCTTTCATTCTGGATGAAACTAAGCCTTCTTGACCCGCCAAACCTATTTTAGTACTGCTCTTAAATTTTTATAGGAAATTTGGTAATTTACCCCCAAATACTTTGGAGGGGATCCAAAATTTACCATGATATTACAAATTTTTCTCCCATTGTTTGCATATTTTAAGGAATTTATTGTTACATGTAGGTCATTGGTATCTGTAAAATTTGTTTGGGATCCCTTAAAATAACAATAATGGACCTGAAATAGGATGATATTTGGAGGTCTTGAAAAGTTGAGTGAATAATATGGCTAGCTGATTCATCTTACATATTGATTACTTTTGTTCATGATTCTTTTTTTAGTGTAGAGAGAAAGAGAGAGAAAAATAAACATTGGAAATGTTCAAGTGTTTTTTTATCATTATGTGTGTTCAATTAGGAATGTGAATGCTCTCACTTACAATTGTTTTTAGTATCAATTTTTTTGCAGACAAATTCATAATCATTTCACATAGTTATTTTACTACGTACCTACCATTTCTTCAGAACTTTTTACACACACACAAAATGTTTGTTGTTGTTTAGAATGATTTGTTTTGAAGTTCATCTCATGTAACATATTTGTATGCATAGATTACCAGTGTAACAGTAGTGTTATCAGATGTGTACATTAAGCAAAATATACAATTAGCACTCATTTGAAGGGTTATGCCTATTAGATGTAATCATTTAGTTTTATATTTATATTAGCCGCATATTATGGTATTTTTATTCTATAATGTTCATTTTGGTAGGGTGAGTGAGAAAGAGCAAGAGAGAGTAAGAGAGAGAGATAGAGATAGAGAGAGAGAGAGAGAGAGAGAGAGAGAGAGAGTAAAGAGGGAACAAAAGAAAAATTTATATCATTTAACCAACTGTTAAACCATGTTAATTACTATCATGTCATTATCTTCAATCTGTAATCTACATGGTGATAGCACAGAGACGAACATGTATGTCTTGTAAATGTTTTTAGACTTCATTCACCAATATTGTATCCTTTCAAGCAAATATATAATCTGCATCAACAACAATATTGAGTATTAAAAGTGGTGAAGAACTATATAAGGAACAGTCATTGTCGTTATTATTCATTATCAAGAACTCAAAACCTTTATGTCTAGTTTAAACGATTACGACTTGATTGTCTCGCGGTGTTCGTTCTTCCTCCTTTACTTACAAATTTATTCATAGACAACTGTCGAGCTGCTTTTTCCTCGCTAACTTCATGACATAAGATTTTTAATTTGATTCCACTTCGTATAACTGTAGGTTTTAGAAGTTAGGTGTGGTCCGTGTGATATGTGACCCCTTTACGACGACAACGTCAAAGTAGGAAGTCATGTGATCAGGTGTTAATTACTTGAGCTCTGCTTTTAATGAGCATTCGGTCTCAATGTACAGGACTACACCTATAACCTAGTCAAAAAATATATGCAGCAGATAAGGCTTACTAAGGTTTTATATGAACATTCACTCCATTCTTTGATGATTTTGTAACCTCATATTATAAGGGTTTTATTTTAACTTGCTATTTTTAACTGTTATGTCAAAAAGGAAATTAAGAAAAATGTATTTGCAATGTAAAATGAAGTAAAAAAATTGGAAGTCAAGTTAGAATTAGAAATCCACTTTTGATTATTTACTCATGAGCTAGTTTCTTTCTCAGTTTTATTTGCACAGTTGTCAAAGGGAGGAGGAATGAACATTTTTCAGTTATATACATTTACACTTTGAAATGATCAACCTAGATTTGACCCCAAAAATTTGTATGCATATATTTCTTTGTAGTCCATATTGTAACTTAGCTGTAAGAAGCTACTTTTGTATCCAAAAAGCCCTCAAGATAAAAATGTACACTAATTCTTACATCTAACAATTTGCAGATAACAATGAAAACTTCAGTTTGACGTTTTTTAAAATCATTTCTGGGTTAAGAAACTGGAAGTTTATTGATTGGTATTATCACTTTATGCAATAATCGTTTTTATCTTAAAGCTTTTAATAAAATGAAAGTAGATGTAAAATGCAAAAGTTCTCTCTCCCTTTACTATTTCTTCCCTTACAAAATTGTGTCTTGTATTTTTTTATTTTTTTATTTTTTAAAATCATCTTTTGGGGATATCTTTTGACATGCACGGTCATAGAGATTGATAGAATGACATGTGAACTTTGTGCAAAATGAATGCTCAAATGTATTTGGAGTGTCAATATCGGAGTTCTCGTCATTCTTGAAAAGTCAATTTCATGTCAATAGACTGCATGCCTACAACGACCCATTGACATTCAGAGGGTCCTGGGAGAGGAAATTGGGAACTAAACTTATTGAATGGCGGACATTCTTTGAATCAGAGTGTGGGATGGAGAGATGAAGAGCGATGGGAGAAAAACAGAGAGTGAGGGAGAGAGAGAGAGAGAGAGAGAGAGAGAAGAGCGCGAGAGAAGAGCAAGGGATAACTAGAAGGAACTAAACTCAATATTGAATTGCAGACATATGAAACAGAGTGTGAGATGGAGAGAGGAAGAACAGTATGAAGTTGAAGAGAAAACTGGTAGATTTAGAGATTGAGGGTGAGAGGAATAGAAAAAATGAGAGAAAAAGAGAGAGAGAGAAAGAGTGGGAAAGGGGAGAGGGGTAAAGGCAGAGAGAAATAGAAAAAGAAGGGAAATATAACAGAAAGGAGGAAAAGTGTCAGTGAAGTTCCGAGTAGAATGGAGTAGATGAAAGGAGACTGAGGGAAGAGCTGAAAGTAAGCACTGCTACAGAGGGGCAAGGGAGAGATTGAGGAGGCGAGGGAGGGGGTGGGGGAAAGATGGGGAGGAGGAACATTCATCAGGAAGTACAGAGGAGGGGACAGGAAGCATAGTGGATGTGATAGGTATAAAGGGAAATGAAATGTGATAGTTAGCAAAGGTTCAAGTAAAGTCACCTTCCTGGTTATTCTACACTATCTCAGATCTCTGTATGATCTTTACGCTGTTCATACAACTTTCTTTGGGTTCATTGATCATGGTCATATAGGCCTTTGTACACTTTTCCACTAGGCCACAAGACAGTGCCAGAGTTCATATACAAGTAATTTGATTGAAAAATTGTAATATTCCAAAAGAATATCACTGATATCATACTCTTTTAAACAAGAAAGTAAAAATGTTGAATATGCATGCTATTAAATCATTCACACTCCCACAAAAACACAGTAATATGGGGCTCAGTTTTTTAAATACTTTTTGTGTGCATGTTGCATTATTTGAATTACACTGCAAGAAGCTAAACAAAAATCTAACTAATTATTACAAAGAGTAAGTAGGGGCATGGCAGCATCTTTAGAGAATTACAGACTATAGCTTTATGGACTATTATAAGATTTTAAAATGTGTTCAGTAAAGAAAAGAAAAAAACGTTGCAAATTTTTTCCTTTAAAAAAAATCTCAATGCTACTCTATTTCTTACTTGTCTGTCATGCTGTCAGTCATGCATATATCTCTTGTGTCTCGTTCAAGAAAATTTCATCTACTTTTTTTCCCAATTTCAAACAAGATATTTGGTTCTCATAAAGTCATATGGATACTATCGTACATTACACACAGTTAATAGGGAGGGAATTAATTGGAAGAAAGTTTTCTTCAAAAGTTTTGATACCTGATATTCTATGTATTTACTATATCTGATACCATACAGTGCATTGAAATGTGTAATATCACTATAATCCTTTTCTACCTTTCTTTCCGGACCACAGGTACATCACTTCCAAGGACCAGCAACAACTCTCCCAGCTACAACAACAATAGCAGCAACACCAACAGCAACAACAGCAGAGGACTAGCAACAACTCAAGGGTTTGAATCAAGTATTAAACCAGTAAGTTAAACCTTTCTTATTTATCAATAGCTTCCAAATGTAAAACCAGAATTTTTGTGAGTTTTTTTTATTGGTTCACATCTATAAAATGCTATTCCATGCTTTGAAATGATAATAATAATAAAAAATATTCAGTTTTTGTATAGCGCATATCACATTATCACATCCCTATGCGCTTCCAAAGAGCTTTGGAAATTGTGATAGAATTAGACCCCTGTTACAGTGAGCAAAAGGCTGGGCCAGACCTAGCACTGTAAACGCCCAAAAGGCCAAATGCGAGGCCAAATTGGCCCTGCTCTGGAGGTAGTCTTGGCCCGGCCTGGCCCGGCCTTTTCTCACTGTAAACGCACGCAGGGCCAGGCCACGGCCCGACTGTTACCCCAGAAGTGAAAGTTTGCCGTGTATAGGAAATTGGGGAAAAGATTCACTGCAAATCGCGCGCGACCGGATCTGCACTGTGACCCCTGGCGGGCCCCCCAAATATTTGTTTGTTTACATGCAGAGCACCACTACGACAAAATATTGAAAGGTTACAATTTAGGCCGCGGCCTGGCCTAGCACTGTAAATGCACAAAATTGCGGGGCCGAGTAGGCCTGGCCCGGCCCTGGCCCTTTTCTCACTGTAAACAGGGTCTAACATTATATTTGATTGGGTGTTAGATCGAATGTAACAGTATGGATTGAGAACAAGTTTTGTGAGAACAAATTTTGTGATACAGAACTCTATTTTCAGCAGACAGTCCACAATATACCAGAACTAGAAACTTTCCTAAATGGCTACCAATTGCCAATTCAACAGCAATAAATCTTTGCAAATCAGCAAAATTCAGAACTATAATTTCAACATTTTAAAGCATGGAAGTTTTTTTTATAGCTGTGAACCAATTGAAAAAATCACAAAAGTTTCATCCTTCTTTACTCTTTGGTTGTTATGGAAAGAAAACTTAGGCAGCATCAAACAAGTACTCTGTACTTGTGACAAAAGGAAACTATGGCAAACCACTGTTTGTTCCTGTAGTCACCTAAAGACAGTTAAGAGTTACCAGCCATCTTCTGTAAAACCCTGAGACTTTTGTAAATTTTGCGAGCGGTCTGCATTTATATTAGTTCATGCCTGGAAAGGAATTTGTGAAAGTTTCATGCCACAAAAATGGGTTCTGTGAGAATTATGTTGTTATCTCTGAATGTAACCGACAGTACATGTAAAATGTTCAAGCCATCTCCTTAAAACTGATGCATTTATACTTAAAATTCATTAATCCTAACAAATAGCATGGCTAAGTTTGTCTCATTCCATTTGAGGCATAACAACATTTTGTTTGCAAAGATTCAGAGGTGTATTGTTTGTAAACTAACTAACTAAGTTTTGAAAATAAAACTAACTTAAACGCAGTTAAAACCCTTCCGACATTTAGCAGATGCTTTGATGCAAATCCATTTGATAGAACTGTAAACAAATGACATTATAAAATAAAGAAAGTATTTATTCAAAATTGTATATCAGATCAAACAGGTCTTTAATTCACCTTCTGCCTTAAAATAGGAAGTCGGAAAATCGCATAGAGACACCCTCGATATCCTAATAGATAAATTGTGATGTAAATATCCTGTAACCATTTAGCTCAATTTAGACTGATTGGTTATCATTCGGAGCTGTTTGATTTCCTTAAATAGTTCAAGGAGTAAAGTACTTTAGTTAGATTCTATCCAATCTGTATGTTTCCTGCAGTTGTTATCATGTACTGTGGAATGTAAATCTCACTCCTAAAAGAGGTACTTTAGATAGGCTAGGTAAATAGAACATCTCACTCTACTTGCCTGGCTGGGCCCTAGCTGTGATGAGTAATAGCGCCTACATGTAGGTCACGTAGTACGACAGCAACAGATATGAGATCACTCACAGATGTGTGGAACAGAAGATGACTTGATTCACACTTTTCAAAATTGGCCTTTAAAAGCTAGATTAAAGCATTTTAACTGTTCACTCTTTGACCATTTACCTTATTCGTTCAAATTTTATTTTAACTTTAGATCTGAAATTCAACCCCCGTTTTCTGTTATTCTGATTCCATTTTAAGGATTCAAAAGTTGTGAACATGTATATTGTAAGGTTTACTGTTGTTAATCTAAAAAAAAAGGTACTATGAATAGTGTTCAATGTCAAATAAAGATATATAAGTACATTTTCAAGTGCTGAAATATGACAGGAAATACAAGCTCTGTTGATTCATAAGCATGAACTGTTAAATGTATCAAGAAGAAATTAAATGGCCGTTAATTTCATTGAATTATATCTTGAGATAACAATTCTGTTATTGAAACAGTTTGATCAAAGCAATAGGAAGAACATATTGAAACATCTGAAGGGTATCAAATTAAGTTAACTTTGAGTAAAAAGTGTTGAAATATGAATTTGCTTTGACTTGCAGTGACCTGGATATTTGTAGATATAGGGCAGGAGTTGACCCAGTAGCTTCAGGATACTCTCAAACTTTCATCTTTTCTGGAATCTTTTTAGAATAGAACTGAAAACAAAAAAACATGTTGAATTGAATTTAGTATTATTTTAGATGTATTTCCAGAAGTGGGAAAATATGGCTGACCTATGACCTTGACGAATAATGATTTTCTCACCATGACTCCAAATACTTCCTGTTTAGAGCCAGAAGGGCATTATAATTTATCTTTTTACTTGGAGTCCACCCCCTTCTGTCTCTCAAAAGACAATAATAGAATCAAGGACTTATAATAGGAGGCTGTCTCTTATTACATTTGAACTAGGGAACACCAGGGTAAAATTAAGGTCAGGATATAGTGTTGACAAAAATATATTGGTTTTCTCAGTCACTAGCTTTTTTTTTGGGGGGGGGGGGGCTATTTGGAAGGTAAAATGTGCTGTAGTTTGATGAATATGAACTTCACATGAAAAAAATCAAATGTTTTGCTGATAAGATTTTGAATGTTTTCCATTGAGAACATAAATATAATCCTTGTAACTGAATTATGCTGAAGTCAAAAGTTTAGCCAGGGATTTATGTATAGAGTATCTGTTTTGTTTATGATTTATAACTTGGAACAAAAACTATGATTTTTTTTTTTTTGTCTTTTACCCTGTTATTAGTCATGAGTTATAAGGGTCAGATTGCAGCTTGCTTGAATTAGTTACTTGTAATATCTTTGGCAAACTTTTACAAACTTTGCAAACTTCTGCAAATAATTATTACAGAAAACTTTTAGCTCTAATGGACTATTATGTAAAGAATTCTTTTAACATTCCTTGTATGAAGATCTCCACTAATCTGTAAGGTAATGTTTGATTTTAATATGGTATTCATTTTCTGTAGACTGCAGACTATATTATCTAAGAATCAGTGGGAGAATTGCCTGTTTCAAGCATTCACTTGCTGTGCAGCAAGCTTCTTCAGACCTATGCTTGCAGCACAGCAAGTGAAAACTTGTCAAATACAGGTAATATTTTGTATGATTGTGAAGAAAGAATTCATTTTCATCGCAAATCAGATGAACCTCTTGAGTGATTATACTTTCTCATGTTTATCATGCATAGGGTTAAAGAACAAAGTGTTATGATAGATTGTATGGTTTCGAAAAAAATATCCAGGCTTTATCAACAATAATAATAATAATCTTTTAAAGTCCACTCCAAATTTTATTAAGTTAAACCGAAAATGGAAATTCCTTTTGCCCAATTGATTGTGAGCCCGGCAGCCAATGAGCAGCGCCAGATCGACGTTGCTCTATCCCTTATTGTTGAAAGCCAAACAAGGTAGCAGTAAATGCACGTAGGCCTGTTTTACTTTGTTTTAAAGTAGGTGTATATATGTGAATTTATGTATATGATATTATGACTGTGTCACTGTTATGTAAGTTTGCATGTGTGTGTAGAGAGAGTGAGTGAGTGAGAGAGAGAGAGAGAGAGAGAGAGAGAGAGAGAGAGAGAGAAAGAAAGAGAGCGGAAGAGGGCTAGAGAGGAACTATGAAGGGGGAGACAAAGTTGAATGTTTACCCTTGTGACTGTATGAGTAAGAGAAACGTAATCAAGTTAGTAGACAGCAGTCCTCTGATTGCCCTATCGTGGCCTCCACCAATAGGGAGCTGGGATGGTTGCCTTGGTTACCGTGATATTGCAATGTACAGAGAAGTGAGATAATTTGATACTTTATAGGCTTTGTGAGTTTAGGCATATACACTGTAGCATATACACTAATAGATCTTTAACATGTGAACCTGTATCAAATTATACCATGGTAAAAATGTACTGTGACTTTAAAAGTAACTTTTGAACAATCTGTCTTATCGATTTGGAATAAGCTTGGTCTGTGTCATAGAAGCTGTTCAAATTTCATTATAAAAAAACATTTGAAGTAGGAAGTTGATTAACTTCATATGATTTCTAAAGCTTATTTTGTTTTTAATAAATCTCAAGATGAAAAAGCATACTGTATATTTCCTTCAAGTACATAAAGACTCCAGTTTATGTGTAATTCAATTGATTTCAGCCAATCCTAACTGAATCGACTCTGTGTAGATAAAAGTGTAAAAAAAACTGTCCGCAGTAGCAGTAGTGCAAAGCTCAGGTGTAGTCTTTAGTTTAGTTCCTTTATACTGACAGCCACTATATCCGTATCATACTGCAATTAGTTCAATGCATCTAGGCCTATCTATAAGGTAGAAGTCATTGAATCTAGAGCAGAACTTTCAAAGCGTGTCCTAAGGTTGATTTTCAGCATGAGGTACATGTAAATCAGATGGGTATGAGTGGTTCTTATATCTTGGTTGATCCCCAAATCAACCCCTCCCTTCTTTTTATACCATCATATGCACCTGGTAGCCACAACAAAGCTTATCAGGATTAGAGAAAGTGCCTGCTATTTTATACCCCCTCAAAGGGCAGTACAAATTCAAATTTGATTTCTGAGGGATACTTGAAGTAGATATATTTGGTCTTTGTGTGCAAAAGTTTTATCTTCTATAATTAAAAAGCATTGCATAGATATAAATGATTAGGATGTATCAGGGCTTTTTTCCCCTGCCCCTCCATTTTCTGCCTTGCATGGTTTGTGCAATTCATTGACTTTTTAAATGGTGTTGAGATAGTTGTATTTACCAAGCTCCAGATTGGGGCAAACTATCTAATTTCTACAAACAAAATTGGTACAATACTGATTGTGTTTCAATTGTTTTGGAAGGTCATTGGTTTCTTCTTGTGAAAGTAAATTTTATTCAAAAATGCAAAGTTTCAATTCAAGTAGCAAATACCTATTCTTGGTTATTTATAAATCTTTACTCAGCACTGAGTTTCCTCTCTATTCACTATCAGGGTGCCCCCACCCTCATATCTTGTTCATTTCATGTACTGGATGTATGTTTAATGATCAAATGGTGTTGAGCATTGATTGATAGATTGATGAATAGGAAGAGATCGAAGAGGTTAGTGAGTGTTTGATAGGATGGGTGGTTTAATGAATGATATCCTTACAGCTGGTCTGGTCTGAGGGTGGAGTGATGACAGGGGTGGGGCGGAGGAGATAGCTAGGAGTACAATGGAGAGATAGAGAGAGAGAAAGAGAGAGAGAGAGAGAGAAGAAACAGAGAAGAAGAAGAGAGAAGAAGAAGAAAGAAGAGAGAGAGAGAGAGAGAGAGAGAGAGAGAGAGAGAGAGAGAAGAAACAGAGAAGAAGAAGAAGAAGAAGAGAGGAGAAGAAGAAGAAAGAAAGAGAGAGAGAGAGAGAGAGAGAGAGAGAGAGGGGGGGGGGGGGGGGGGGGGGAAGCAGCAAGATAAAGAGATATAGATAAACCAGATCGAATGTTTTAGAAAAAGACAGATAAATACAAACACATAGATGGACAAACAGACAGACAGGTAGGCAAGCAAAAAGACACAGAGAATGAAATAAAGGAATCTGAGGAAAACAGATTTGAAGACGAAGGGAAAGGGAATGAAAAAGGGGAAAAGGGAAAGGCATAGTAAAATGCAAAACCCTGATATCTGCTGGGTGGAAGATTGAACAATAGATGTGTCATTTTCTACATCATATGTCACAGGATTTCAATTGTGTATTGGTCAACTTTTCCAATGTTTTTGCCTTTTTGCAATAAATGTGCAAGTTTTAGTCACAGACTTTCCTTCTCACCATATAATGTGCATTGTTTATAAGCCAATGGAACATGTTTAAAACCTTTCATACTTTATAGAGAATATATAAAGACACTTCTCACACTAATACAAAATACCATTGTAACCTCTGGTTCAACTCTAGGTCCCTACATCTGATAGAAATAGTTCTAGATATTTTCAAGAAAGTGTAAAATAGAGCCTACTTATCATTCATGTGCAATTTACTTGGAAGGACTGATTTGTTAAATTCACAGTGGGTCAAAATTGCATTGTATGTAAACATAATTTTCCTTTCTTTAATAGTGAACAAAAATCTTACCCCACTTGGAGTAAGCTGTCAAACTAAGTTAACCCCAAGTTCACTCCCTGTTTCTTTTCTTGCTTTGTTTTCAATTTGATCACTGGTAAAACAACTGATGAAGGGCTATAGATATTGTGAGTCTTTAGATTGTCAGTTTGCCTTTTATCATTGCTTAATTGTGGGAGACTTGTAATATAGAAGGAAGGGGGTGCCACTATCAGCTGCTCCTAACCCATTTGTTATAACTTGCTTTCTTGCTTGCATTTTGATAAAGTGTGGAATATTGCTTTAAAAGAATTATGTGCCATTCAGTTTTTCAACCTTCATTATGAGTAAATAAAAACGAAACAAAGTTCTAAACAACCTATTCAGGGATTTGTTTTGACGATGCAAAATTCCTACAATTATCATTTCTTATTCTGATAACCTTGTCTTCCGTTGATATCTGTTGAGAGTCATGAGGATGGTCAGTCTAAATGACAATGACATTCTTATTAATAATGTGTTTAATAACAATACGTTCTTTGGGGCTTTTGCGGTCAATGTCCACTGCAGAATTCTCTGGGGATGGTCCAGGGGTGGGTGCAAGGATAGATTTTTGTGCAAAAATAGAAATATCCAGGTTTCTTTCCAGATCTCAAATTTGATGAAATTTGGTATATTATATGACCTTGTATGACCTTTTCATGTATTACCCCAAGATATGGTTACAGAGCTCAGATTTATGAGATTGAAGAAAGAGAATGTTGTCATGACCTCATTTGACCTTTCTGCCTGTCTGATGGCTGTGACAGAGGTTAGCATATTTCAGTGATCCTGTCCAATTAGACGACATTCCTTTGGTCATGTGATACCTGTCTGGAGGTCATGCACATGACCTCTATTTACCTGTGCCTGTCTGTCTGTCTGTATATGTTCAAGTCTTTTTGTATTTGTGTGTTTGTATGGTTATAATGTGTATTTGTCTGTTGATATGTGTATATCTTAGTTTATTATTTATTTCTTGGTATTTTGAGGACATACAAATCTCTTTGATTGGAACCCTATTACTGTCCAATTCCAAAGATTTCTTGTTTTAGCTACCAAAATGAACAGTTACTTATGTTGACATTTTGTTTTTTCTGTTTTCATTTGATACTCTTTCATGTTCCAAAATATGATGGGATTTTTTTTTGCATGAGATGTATTTGTAACATGGATAAGTATATGTTACATATAGTTTTGTTGACTGTATTCCTAAGCAATTATAGACTATTTAACTAGAATGTCGTCACCATCCACAGATTGATTTCCAGTTATGACTATGAATATGAAAATGATTAGTGGATTTTGTTGTCATTTCATTTGAATTCAGTACTCTTTCAAATTTAAAAGACAAATTGTTTACATTAGATTTAACATGTTTAAGAATGTACATGTAGCATACCTGTACTTTTAAGCTGTCATTAATACGTCCTAACCTCCAATAAAAGCCTTATGAGGAATCCTATTAGACGCCTGTGACATTTATAAATGGTAATCCTTCTCTATGCATACGTCAGGACTTAACCTTGTTCTATCAAGTTGTCTGGCAAGTTCACCGTAGTAGTTACATATTCTGTGACATTCCGCTTGCGTTATGATAATCCTGTCTGATATATGCTAAGTTGCAATAGATATTCAATCTTCTTATGAGATAGAGAGGAAGAAAGGGGGAGAAAATGATAGAGAAAGAGAGAAAAAAAGATAGAGGGGATAGTGATGTGCTGCATAATTTTTTTTTATCCAGGTGAATGATGATGTGATATTTGGAATTGTTTTTTCTTTCTTGTATAGGATGGGGCCATCGTTCTCAAGAACCATGGGGTCAGAGAGGAAGAGGAGAAGAGCTCAGGAAGGACAGCTGAGGTTCGGAGAGCAGACCCAGAGACGAAAGAAACTCCATCTGTGCCTGTGGTGGATGACAGTAGGAGAGAGAAAGAAGAAGATAAAGAGAAACTTGTGAGAGGAGAGATTAGTGATGGGGGTCAGAAGACACCATCCTCCTCCTCATCAGCATCATCAGCATCATCAGCATCATCTTCGTCACCACAAACATCACTAGCTTTATCCAGAGAACCTACAAAGAAGGATGAGGAGAGGATAGCATCATCATTGGAGGAGAGTGTCTGTGTATCCAATGGCAACCAGGATGTCGAAGATGTAAGTGAACAGAGTGAGATTTTACAAGAAGTAGAAGCATCAGTGGTGCCTGTTTCTCCATCCATTTCATCATCACCATCATCATCATCATCAACATCTTTATCCCCATCTTTATCACCACCACCACCACCACAACCATCTTCCATATCTGCATCATCGTTAGAATCTAAGTCATCCAATCTTCCAGAGCCTGAGGATGATAGAGACTCTCTAGAGAAAGACTCTGTCGTATCGCAGGAAAGTAGTTCCCATACCGATACAGAGAGTGACACTGATAGAGAGACGGTAGAGACTCCAAAGCAAGAAAAGCAAGAGGAATCTGGTTCTGAATCAATTTCGGAACCGGTCCTAGAGACCAAAGAGGATGTTGAGATGGATGCAGATGACGAAGCATCTAAATGTGACAGTATCCAGATCACTAAACAGGTCAGTTAGAATATTACTTGTCTACGTTGTTTAAATCTAAACTAAACTATGAAAGGAAATGTTCTATGAGGTTATTTATAGAGCCATAGAATGAAATTAAAGATGTAGGTTCTCCTCATAATCTCAGTATCTCAAGGAAAAAACTAACCTGTTCAGTTTTTTTATATTTAATTCTTAAATTCTTTTTTTTTTCCTTCTTTTTCTTTTCCCCCCAAATACATGTGATTGTAAGAAATAAGCTTTCATAATGGAGACAGTGATCAGGAGCTAGTTAGCACAATCTAAAAGCCTTAATTTTTTACAATTGTATGGCAACCAAACCCGAAAGTTTCAGAAAATTTTATTTGACAAACATTAATAATGAAATAAATAATAATATGGATATTTATATAGCGCCGGTATTCTCAGTACTTGATTAGGCTTCATGATTTGGTCATTGTGAACGATGAACAGTGCAAGGTCTTTATAACTAGAGATACCTTACATCAAAGACATTGAGGACTTTCAAATGTTTGGACAACCCTGTACCCATTTAATGAGAATGTCAGTTCATGAAGGAGAGGGAATTGAACTGTCACAAAAAGGTTGATCAACTTGGTACAAACTGATACCATACTAAAGAAAAGGTCTCTAGTAAGCAGAATTAAATGAAACCCAAGTAAGATTGTACGATGCCTGTAGCCAAGGAAGTTACATTGAATAAGACAATTGAAGGTTATGTTGTTAAACTGTTCTATTCTGTGACATAAGAGGAATGATACCAATTCTATTTCTCACTTGTAAGAAGGTAAAGAATGTCTGGTACTACTGAAAGTCTGGAGCAATGATTTGTTAAGTTTTCAAGTGTTCTGTAGTGTAAGAAGCCTGTCATGTCACATTATCTTTACGCTTTCATGACATCAAAACCATTTGGAAATCTAGTTCTCTTGATGACTTATTTCCCCTCATGTATCGGTACGTACAAGGTGTGTAGACCAGGTGGGGTTTTCTAACGCGTTAAAGGAAGGGGATTAATTGAAAGACCGGAAAACCTTTGATTTACTTAATGTGATCTTGAGCTCATGGAAAGCTTGAGGGAACTTCAGGGTTGTTAATCATACCTGTACATGTTTGAATTAATTGCACTAGGTCATAATATTGTATGCACATAGTTGAGTTATATTTTAATGATCTTTTGAAATATGTATCATCAACAACATCATTATCATAGTAAAATCTGTCATCATTATTGTCACTTTTCATCACCATCTTCTTCATTATCATCATCAGCATTATCAGCATCATCATAATCATCAATACCTACTCCTGTTCCTTCTTCTTCTTCTCTTCTTCTTCCTCTTCCTTTTCTGTTTCTTTCTCTTCTTCTTCCTCTTCTTCTTCCTCTTTTTCTTCCTCTTCTTTTTCTGTTAATTCTCCTTTCTCTCCTACTTTTATACCCTCAGTGCTCTCTATATTACGAGTATCAGTCTTTAATCCATAATTTTTTCCAGTTTTCCACCAATAAATGGTACTACTATGGAACAAATCCCTAAGCTATGTTGACATATAAATCCAAAGTATCATGAGCTGCAGTATAACCCCCTCCACATAACCACTACATTACAAAAAACTCAAAAGAAATGCAAAATAAATGAATAACCACTTTCAAACCATTGTTAATAGAAATGATATTTTCAAGTAATGATTTTTATGAAATGGCTTTTTTTCCCTTTTTTTTTCTGTGTGCATTTATGAAAGCACATAAGTTCATCAAACAAATTACACAGTTAACAGCTTGCAAATTAATGCTTGATGAATATAAGGAGTCATGCCCAGCACTTCTGTTTAGCTCAATCTGATATTTCTTAAAATTTCATTACAGCTGTCCTCTCCTGTAGCCACAAATAGCCCCCAAATTGTACAAGTCATATTTTCACATCTGACAGTGGGCACCCCCTCCCACTCTCCTTGAAAGAGCAAAGTCATAGACTTTAAGTTACGGTATGAAGTTACTTGGCTCAGTATCAGTAATTACAAACATCTCAGAAAAAAATATCAATTTTCTTTCCCTTTTTAAGGTCTACTTTATTTATTTTCTCTTAAGTCACACCTTTCCCTCATTTACACATCACCAGTGCACTTTTAATATGTTTTTTTTAAATTTATTTATTTGTAATTACTCACTTTAGTCAACAGATAAACAGATTGCCTTCCCCCTTTGAATCTTGGCCTATTTAGAAATATTTTGGCTATCTCTTCATCTCCTGGTGCTATTCTGAAGTAAAGCCCCCTGTCTTTTCATTCTTTCATACAATCTTTAAAGTTTAAAAACTGTGAATATAAGAAATGAAAATATTTTGAAGCTAGATTGCTTACATATTTGTCTCCTCTATCTCAAAGTTGATACCCCTAGCAATTGGTTTTGCAAAAGAAACCCAGACATATGTTTGTACTGAATGACAATTTTCACACTTCACATGGATGACAAAAAAATAGCTCACTGTACATTTCCTTTGATGAAAGAAGCTTGGATTCTCTTAACTCATGGGCTGCCCGCAAGAAGGCCATAACAGCTATCTTATATGTATTACCGATGGCAGTATTGACCTTCTTGCAGGGAACAAACATACTTCCCTTCTGTAATTCTACCTGTCTCCCCAACCCTTCTCTCTCCAGGAAACAAAATTACTTGAAGGACATTGTAAAGTAGTCATGCCAGTATCCTTTCGTATTATGTTCTGTTTAATATAAGCCCTTACCAAAATAGTATCCCACAGTTTGTGCAGGTACCATTCAAAAGTTTTTCTAAATTTGGCATGCTAATTAAACATTTTCTGTTTATGAGAAGCTGATCTTAATGTTGAAGGATTTATGTAACATACAAAATAAAAAAAGAAAGGAAGGAGCAATAGCTTTTCCTAACAATGATTATGCAAACAAAGAAGGTCTTAGAATTTTTACTGAGAATGATCAGCAATCTTGAACAACATTTATGATTTGTTGCAGATGATGATGTCAATATTGAAAGTAAACGATTGAACAGGGCATGTACTTTAGTTTCAGTACAGCTTCTCTTCATTTTTAAAACAAGAGATGATACCATTCAGATGTCCCTCAGGTTCATACGTATGTCTTTCAATGCATTTGATTGAAGAATTTGATTGTTTGACAAATAAATTATTAGCCTGAAACAACTTGGTCTGTCCAAACTCTCTCACATTTCCCTTGTCTAATAGTTTAGGATAGGAGTTCTTAATCATTTCTCTCTCATTTTGTTTCTCTCTCAAGACAAAACCAATCCCAGTTGTGAGGAAAGTCAAACCTGAAGCGGAGGCATCCTCGTCTTCATCATCTCCATCATCATCATCAGGCACAGGGTCGTCATCGGGGTCATCTTCAGAGCTGGATGAGGTCACAGGTCAACCAAAGGTGAATTTTACATAATAATAATAATATTCCGCTTATATAGCGCTTAATACAATGTCTCTAAGCGCTTTTACAAATATAGTATTACCCGGTCATTGGATTCAGTGCTTGCACACAATGCATGCACAATCTCCACTCCCTGGGGAGCATTCCAGCCAGCCATTACTTTGAAGCTCAAAAAACTGTTTGACCAACAATGACGGTCGCATCCTACAGGTACTCATTTAACACATACAATTTACCTCCATAAGGGAGTTAAACCTGCCCATAAAGGGATAAATAGGGGAAACACAACTGTAGCCATAAAGAGATGGTCTTTCTATACAGGGGCTGCTACAAACGTTTCTTCTAGAGAGAAGTAAGAGTGAAGATTGGCTACCAGAGACAGGTTTCACACTTGTGATACCTGTAGAGTGAAGTACTAAGATGAACACTTTAGGCCAGTGGCCTTTCTAGACAGGTTGTGTAACACATATTCCTCAGGGAAGGGATGAGTAGTTGACAACTATAGGCTGGTGGCCTTTGTCAAAAGGTGGTCACTATAACTTATTCAACTGTTGGTTGCCATGTGATATAGAACATTTACAGTATCATTTGTAATTCAGATTTCTGTTTGGGTTTTTTCTTCAAATAGAGCTGTCATAAGTCTATATTTGTTGCAGAAAATTACTTCTTCATCCTTTCAGGGTATATTACACCATCTTCAGTAATCACCACACTATTCTATAAATGATTTCTCTAATCATGTAAACTTTTCTTTTATGTGACAGGGAAAGAAAAGAGGTAAAGGGCTCAAAGAAGCGATGAGGAGAAGAGCACGTAAGTACTCAAATTTGAGTTTATTTCTTAGATTATTTGTTATTCTCTTAAGAGTCTGACTTTCAAATGAGCTAACTTGATCATTTACTGTATATGGAAACTGGTGCAATAGGGGCACAAATTTGAGAAAACTTTTATATTTATCCATTTTGTTCTACTAGTAAGAAGAAAAACATCTGGAAAAGTATTGTGACGGGAGACCATGAATTTGTTTGAAGAAAATGAATCACTGCACGGACATATTGATATATATTAGTTTACAAGGTGTTGCCTATTAATAGGGTGTCAAGCTAATACCTTGTAGGCTTAAAGGATAATGAACAACTTGATGGCCTTTTCTCAAACTATCTGTCTGTAATTTTGCACCTTTTGGCCTCAAAAGTTTTGCAAGGCAGAATCTGGCAAAATCGATGTTCAGAATCCTTATATTCTTTCCAAAATGCATCAGAATGCATATATTGAAAATGCTTCTTTTTCTCTTTCTCTATAGTACCTTATAAGTCTATCAGGAGAAACCAATTTTATTAGGATTTTGTGATGTTAGAATCTTGAACACAGAACATATTAAGATCATGGAAGGAGTTAGAGATGAAGTTGAATTCTGGTCATACGGTTGCATTGTGAAAGTAACGGTGTGGAATCGACCAGAAAAGGTTGATCATGTAGCATATAAGAATTTGTGTGTATTGCAAGGTTCTGGAATCATCAAAATGATAAGAAATTGGACAAGTCTTGGTAAAGTTACAAACACTGTACACAGAAAGATGTTTATGGGACTACACGAACACGTGGCGTAAAAAACCTACCCCCCCCCCCCCCGAGTTTTACGATGTACATGACATATTTAGAATATGAAGGCATTTGAAGAGCCATGCTTTTCAGGGAACATGTCTTATCCGATGTTCTTCCACACTTGCATAATAAGAAAGATAACGCTCACAAATTATTTTTCACCTCTTCCCAGAACTCAACCTTCTCTTTAATACAATTTGCTTTTAATGTGCAAGATCTAGTCAATTATGGAACTTGATTCAAAGAAATCTGTTTTGTTCTTGTTTTTCTCAGAACTTAAGGCCATTGAACTTGCCAAGGAGTCTGCCAAAGAAGTGAAGGAAGAAAAGAAAGGTAACGAATCATAACATTGACAAATCATTGGTGTTTCTATTAAGTATTCATCATTTGAATGAGATTAGTGTGTATTCAGCATTGGTTGAATGGAGGATTAACTGGTCAAATAGGTTCATAGCAAAGGGAGAGGAGAGAGAATGAGAACTCTGCTTCATCTTTTATAGGAAGTGTTTCTCTGTAAAGGTATACATCTTTTTTATTGTAATGTCTCTGTTGTGCTGGTGAACAACAAAGTCCCATGATAGATCGACCATTATTAAATAATTATTGAATTAGCAAAGGTCAAAACAACAACCTCTGACACAATAATGGTAATAATGAGGGTTTCTTATGAATCACTTTACCAGTTAACTGATCAAAACACTACTAATAGTATTAGACACAATACAGGATTGGAGACTCTTTTCATGAGTTAAATCCTTGTTTGTGAATTTGTTTGCATTAAATACAAATTAATCAAGAAATTAGATATAAACGGACCTCAGTCAATAGATGCAATAAAATGAAATATCTGTAATCATGTATGTGGTCAAAGAAAGTAAACATTTGGGAGGGCTGTTTACAGGATAATGGGTCACCAAGGTATTTCAATCTGCCTCAAAATCAATTCATTGAAGGATATTGTTGGAAGTGTTTTGTTATTTTATTTTCAAGGGTAGATCCATTTTGTTATAGAAAGCTGAAAGGCCACAGGAAACTCATTTGCAGGATCCATCTAAAGAGTCTTTGTCAGGGTGGAAGGCTTATGGAATGCAGTAGGATAAAAGGATAGGAAGTCGGATGACAAATCTAAGCAGAGATGTTCCTCTAAAGGATCATTAAAAGATTACAATTCAAAACCAGATGGGGTTATGTAAGGTGATATGAGTTGAAGCCCTCTGTCTCTGATCAGAAGGAAATAAATGAAGAAGAAGATCATTGACTTAAAGATAGAGTTAATGGACGGTGGTATTAAGATAAGCACCCCCGCCCCTTTCCCCCTCCCCCTTCATAGTAATTAGGTGGTGTCACACAGAGGCCAAAAATCTGGAATTTAGTTATCCAGATTTTATTTATCCTCTTAATTGCTGTCTGTCATCAATTAACCCATTAAAAATCCTCTAACGAAGCAAGAAAATTCTCTCTTGAAAGGATTTTTTAAGGGATTTTTCTGTGTGACATCGCCTATTGATGCAGTATTGCGGAAGATAAGAGAGCAATGTTTTGATTAGAAAGGAAGCATTATGGTTGTGATGTAGTTGCAATGCTGTTAGCTTTCACATGTTCGTAACGATTCTAGCAGTGATATACACTGGTATGATGTTGCTGGTATTGGTCATTGTGGTAATGATTGAGGGGTATGAGTAGTAATGGCAGTCACAATACTGATAGTAAGTTTTTGTGGTAGGAAAACATAGGTATGTCATCATTATTAAAGCTCTTTTTTCGAGTGTTGCTGCCTAGCTGGTAATATTAATGCTGCTCCCTCCCCCAAAGAGTTCTCACTTTAGGTTCTCTCCATGGAGGGGGGGGGGGGGTTATCTTAATACAACTGTCTATTAACTCTAGCTTTAAGTCAAATACAAACTTCACATTTAATCTTAATTACTGCAACCTTTTCTTTGATATTGATGATGTTTGCACCTGAATACACTTGATTCACATTACACCTGAAAAAAGGAGCAGTAGTGATAGCTGATTTGAAAGTAACCACTGTACTGGTACACAATAGTCAACTCATTCATTCACCAAATGTAAATCAAGGTTTGACGATGGGTTGAGAAGTCAGTCACTGACTGACCCTGCTCGAACCTCTCTGAATCTCTGCTTTGTTGAGATCCTTTTGGTCATAAAAAGAAACCTTTCTGTTAAGGGTATCTGGTGTCAAACGTGTTCCTTCCTCAGCTGTTACGTTTCTCTATTGTTTGGTGAACTGGTCTTGAAATTGTTCAAGAAAGAGTCATCAAATAAACTTTTTCTCAGAATTCTTTTCTTTTCATCCCTTTTGAGATGAAGGTTTTGTAAATCATTACATGAATCACTATATGCTTGTATTGTTTCATTGAATTTGGGGTTTTCTTAACTCTAATGCAAGCTGGTGATGTAGAAAGATGAAGAGGGAAGAAAAAAAGAGAACTACCTGGATGTATATAACATCAATGACACTACCAGTATTGAACATAAGCCCAAATGTTTTCAAATCATGTGGATGAAATCACTCATGTCTTATTGGTATTTCTGTGATTTGGACAACACCTTCAAGACAAGATGCCTTCCATGTCTCAAGCACCAGTAGGCCTAACAGGTTTGAATATAAGATTGTGGATACATTTCTGAGATGTGTTTTAGCAATAGACTAAAGTGTTAGATAACATAAAACAGGATGAATAAGAACAAAGATTGTTAAGGATCTTCATCATTCCAGGGGGAGAATCCTGTCAAACATACTTCCCATTTTTGTCACTAATCTCACAAATGTTCCTCTTCACTCTTGTTTGTGGTATACATTCATCTGAGCATCAGTTTCACATTGGTATATTCTTTGAGTTATTGTTTCAACAATTTTGTCATTCGATTACAGAAGAGCCACAGGAAACCTTAAGCCAAGAGGAATCATCTCCTGTGAGCGAGGCTGTCAAGGTTGAACCCGTCAAGGATGAGGCAGAGTTGGAGAAGGTAGAGAGAGTGCTTGAGGAAGACAACAAGAATAAAAACAATGCCAACTTGACGTCAAGGACTGTTGAAAACCTGGCAGTACAATCCAAGTTGGAAGTGAAGGATGTAGAAGATGTGAAGGTTTCAAGGAAGAAGGATGAGGACAGTGGTACCAAGGAGGATGAGGATGCAACAGAACCATCCTCATCTCAAAGTCAGTCATCATCTTCTTCATCATCATCATCTGATGAGAGTGCAAGTGTGAAGACCCCAAGTGAGGACAAGACTGCATCAAGTTCACAACATGTAGACAGTATCAGCAAGGGCAAAGACACTCTAGGAACAGTATCTTCCAAGATCAACATGACTTTACATTCCCCTGTAACATCCACCACCACATTCCCTATCTCCAATTCCACATCACCATCAACATCAACCTCAGAGAATATATCTTCTGTCATCGAGGTCACTCCCAGGATGAGCGCGAGGGTCCAGCCAACAAGTCCAAGCTTGAGCAATTCCTCAGACGGTCTGTCGCAAAAGGCCAGTAGTCCTGCTGGTGATGAAACACATGATGGTGCAGTACTCTCTGTAAATAAAACAGACTCTAGTGAACATTCAGTTGATAAGCCTATTAAAAGTGTAAGTTCACCAGGTACTTCCACCACTCCTAGCATTCCAAGAAACTTTGGCCATCCCTTCAGGTTTACCAAGGCCCGCGATGACAACGCCATCCCGACACCAAAGAAGACCACCACATCCGTCAGGAGAAGTGAGAGTGCAGTATCTTCCTTGCAGTCAAAGAGGAATAAGTTCCTGAACAACAGACCAAGGCCTGACGATGATACAAGCCCTACCAGCTCAGCACCAGCTAGATCATTCAAGAACGTTGTCTCAGGAAGCAAGTTTGCTGCCCTCAGGGATAAGTTCGGTGCGTCAAATGACAACAGCAACAACAATGCAGGTATGTTCCTTCAGTGTTAGTAGTTTTGTCCTAACTATGTTTTCCACCTATTTTCAAAATATGTACATTTTGATAGGTAGTATTGCTGTAATTACGATGCATTTATATATTTCTGTAATGCATTTACATTGAACTTACAGTTACTATCAATTATTAACCAAAATGGGCTAAAATATTTGAATATGAAAAAATAAGATTAATGTTTGCATTTAAAAAAAAATATCAAATTCTTCTTGTTTTCTGTCATACAGAACTTCATTTCACATGTTAAAGAAATTACAATGTTTTTATACTGTATCAAGCCTACTATGGACGTTGTATATATTTCAAGTAGTTTTCACTTGAAGAAGCAAGAAGAGAAATATGGTATACTGCCATCTACTGTTCATTATCTATGAAGCTTCATTGTGCTCATGCATATGCATAGGTAAGTTATTTCCAATGAATGATGATGGTTAGTTTGTATACTGCCATCTTGTGTCCATTGTCATATACATGTATTATGTGGCATAATGTGGGCTTATTTAACATGCTGTACTTGACAAAATATAGATGCCTACCTCTACATAATAGTAGAATGATGCAGATTCCTCTTTATGCCAGAACTGATCATGACATTTCCTTAAGTTGTGAAATATTTCCAAATTATTTACTTGAGAGCTGAGGGAGGTTTTTGTTTTGTTTTGCAATTTGTACAAGTAATGCAAACAACTTCTACTTTCAAAATTCAAGTAAACAAATTTTAAATAAGTGAAAAACATAACTTGCAGTTAGAAAACTATTTCAATTTATAAAAATAATAAACCAATGAATATGTCAGGAGATCAGAGGAGAATTAGCTGTTTGTCATTGATTTTTATCTTTGGAATTGAAATATTTGTTAATATACTTTGCTTTATTAACATACTACAATTAGAATTTTATTGTTGCATCTGAAGTTACTTTTTTGATACTTAGGATTTTGTTTTTATTGTTTCCCTTCAAATCCAACAGGCCAGGGCAAACATTCACCCTCCTCATCAACTCCCAAATCACTATGGCAACAGAAATCTCCCTCTTCATCTTCTCGCTATGGCGGCAGCATCTCTGAAGAATCCTCTCTCAATTCCTCCCCCAGACAAAATAAATCAATATACGGGACCCCGCCCTCATCTCCCCTAACCCCCCTGCCTTACATGACCCCTCCTGAAAGCCCTTCGGATCTCAGAAGCAAGACAGCCAGTCCCTCCACTCCTCTGGCTGCCAGCACCCCTACTGGCACAGCAGAGTTGAAGAGTCCGACTGCAGCTGAGCTTAAGAGACAGTTCTTGTTTGGGGCAGACGATTCTCAACAAGGGGATGTCTTTGCTGATGAGGTAAGTGACTTATGCAATGATAGTTCTTACATAAATATATTTTTTTTGCCTATTGAATAAAATCTTGCTCTCCATAAGATTACAGATTTTCCCAATGAGAGAGAGAGAGAGCCAGAGAGAGAGAGAGAGAATTAAAGAAGGAATTGCTTGCAAAAATGTATTGTAACCTATTAATGATCAAGATGTGTGAACTATCTGTTTGCAATTTAACCTGTATATTCAAATATTTACAAAAAATTGTATGAGCTGTCATGTACATTTAACTTGACTTGCATATTCTTACCTAGTTGAATTTAGATCTTACATACATTAAACAAAAATATCCTACCTTCAAGATAATAGCCAAGTCATTAACTTCTCATCATTATTTGGAATATATTAGGAATTGAAAACATAACAAGTAATGGAGAAGGAAAAAAAAAAAAACGTGTTTGAGTGATGACCTGTCTGTTGATTTGGTTTTTTATGGGTGGAGTGTATGTGTGTGTGTGTGTGTGTGGGGGGGGGGGGTTCTGCATTTATCAGTCAGAGTATCTAGACTGGATGGTTTCTGGTTGTTTGTATTAAGAGTAAAAGAATGGGAAATGTTGAGCAGTTGAGAACATGCTAAAGAGTTCAAGTTAGATACAGTGTGTGGCATGTGATGATACATCTATGTATATAAGAGAGTCAGTGTTTACTGAAATGTTGTGTAGCTATGAGGTCTTATTAATATTGACAGTAAGCCCTGTTTGATTAATTGACAGACTATATTGGTATCAATTGACATGCTGTACAACACCTAAATATAAACATGGCTGCTGCAGACAGGGGCAGAGCAAACACTCTTCTTTGATAAAGGGGGAGGGGGGGGGGGTATACAGATTTATGTAAGAAACTATCAAGCAACAGAAAATGTTAGAGAAGCCATCTGAATCACCCGACCCCTTAAAAGAGGGTTCTCAATTTTGTTTTGAAGTTTTCCATTGATTAAAAAAAGATTGATATTTCGGATCGTAAAAGAGATATAATTCATCAAGGATTTGGGGGTATATGTGTATGAGGAACATACTAATACCGCACCTTCCATCATTGACACCCCACCCCCTCCAGCAAATCAAGCAGCCCTACCCCTTCCGCTGTTGATAGTCTCTTTGTTTTTCACTTTCCAAATCTCTGTTGATGATATACAAGCAACTCCTTAATCTTTCAACCTCAACAACGTCTTAATCATGAGCAGGTTTTTAGAATCTAAACCAATAATTCTAATAATTCTTATGAGAAGCAAACCCTCCATATGCTGTACACCTACCATCCTGACTGTGATTGCCTATCCCTTGAAGGAAGGTACAGGCAGGGCCCAGCAGTAGGTGAAGGGCACAGTACACTGAATACTGCTGGCCTGCATGCCATTGTCCTTATTAGGCCATCCTACCAAGTCTACCAATAGATGCGGTCCAGTGCCGTGCTGGAGTAGAGTGGAGAATGGTCTACAGGCAGAGTGAGATCGACTGCTACTTTCTGTACGAGCAAACTGATTGCAGGCTAGCTGGTGGGATGTATAGCTGGTTGTGAGTGTTATGGAAAGGAGAAGAGGAGGGGTAGGGCAGAGTAGGAATGGAAGAGACCGAGATGAATACATAAATAATATGGAAGGATAACAATGGGATAACTAGTTAGGTAGAGAAGAGATATTGAGAAAGAAGGAGGAAATTCTAAGAGTTTAACACAGATAAAAGCAGTGAAATGGGAATTTTTAAAATCAATTTTCATGGATAAATACATACATGTATATTGAAAGGGGTATGGTACAAGCGAAATGAGAAACGGTGAGAGAGAAAGAGAGAGAGAGAGAGAGAGAGAGAGGGTATGCGACAGACGAGATGAAGAAGAAAGGGCGTAGGGAGAGATGAAGGGTACAAAATAGAAAGATAAGGAGGAGGAGAAAGAGAGAGTGAAAGACAGAAAGACAGACAGAAATAGAGACAGAGGGGGAGGGAGAGAGGAAGAGAGAGAGAGAGAGAGAGGAAATGTGCAAAAGAAGAAGAAAGAGGAGGGCATAGGGAGTGATGGGTATAGAGGGATGAGGGGTACAGAAATGATAGAGGGGTAGGAGGAGAGAGAGAGAGAAAGAGAGCAAGAGAGAGAGAGAGAGAGCATTATACATAATATAATATACATTATACATGTAGATTGTGGGAGAAACAGATGGAGTAAAAGAGAAAAAACATGAGAGGTAGATAGGATGAGATGGAGAGTGTTATAGAACATACTGGTAGAACTAAGGATGGTTAGGGAAGAGATGACCTACATGGGTATACATGAGGATGTGTTGATATGCCCCTTGTTCTAGGCCAACTTCATCTAGTCTACTTTCACAGTCACAAACTTGTCAAACTAAACTAGATTCTATTCTGTACACTCCCATTTAGCAGCTAAGACCCAAGACAAATTCTGTATGCCCTGTTGATACAAAAGTACCAACTTTATGGGGAAGTTATACATAGTAGTTTTCAGTTAGTTTGGAGAGTAATGTGGTAGGTACACCTTTAGTATTTTTGGAAGGACAACAATCAAAAGAGGTCAGAACTGTTTCATGATAGACTTACCTCACCTATTCCAGGAGAAGACTAGTCTCAGAAGGTTAAGCCCCCTTCCTCTTCTTGTCTCTAACGATAACAGACTACTCTCCTCTTGCATCTGTCTCTATTGGTCCTCCCAGCTCCATCTCGTTCTCTCATCTCTCGGATCGCCTCACTTCCAAAGAGGAATTAAGACTTTTGTGGTTTTTGGAGGAGTTATAGAAGAGGATAGATTGCCTGGTGTTGCAATAAGAAGTCAGATACTTTGTGTGTTTTGTTTGTGATATCATCATTACCATAGCCCAAGCCTGAAAGCTCCTGTGCTCCTGTATTGCCTGGTGGAAGAACAGTTTTCTCCATTTTATTTTCTCGTCCTAGACTATCCGTGGAGTGACTATATTACCCTATAGCAGGTATGGTATTACATCTAATACGATCAGTTTCGGGAGTGATAGTTGAGACGTTATTTTATTCTTGTTGAGAGCATTTGTATGAGGATCTTGCCTGCATGTTCTACACTCATCGTGTAAATAGCTTAACTTTTTAATGATTTTATATTAAACTGATAAGATTTCGTCAGTGATGTGCATGTATGCATTTGTATGGGCAGGGGGGGGGGGGTGAGTATGAGAGAGTATTAACATTCCACCCATTATCAATAACATGAGAACACTATGAGATGCTTAGTTTAACATGCAATGATATTTTCAGTGCAAATATCCATGTTTACCAATAGTGTTTCAGCTTTTACAAATATTTATTTTGCAATATAAATTTGTAAATTGAAGGAAATCTTCACTCATTTTATTCTGTTTCTTATTGGAAAGAACAAGCACACATACACATCAAGTATACAAAAACCCAAATCTTTGCCCAACCTTTAATTGTATTAAAATGGTTCTGATGAAGGTTGGGTGATATTGAAACATTTAACATTTTACGGGGGGGGGGGGGGGGGAGGGGGGGGAATGATACAAATGAAGAAAATGTATCAATCTGCAAATGTTTTTTAGTCTTTAAAATGAACTTTTGCTCTCATCAGAGTAGTAGGACAACCTGGTATTGGAGACCGAATTATTGATTTTAGAAGCTAATCAAACGATAAATGCCCTTTTGATTGTCCTTCTGGGTAATTATATCATCACATTAGGTTTACCGACCTACTTCTTTCAATGTCAAGTCTCGCAGTTCTTCATTCCTGAGATTGAAAACTGAAATGTTTCAACTGTTGTAGCATTTTACTTTTACTCCCGAATAGGATTGACATGGTAATGTGATCTAAAAAAACCTGATCACTTATTGTAATTATTGTCTTTTTATATGTCATTGCATGATAAGGAATTTGTATTTCTTTTGGGAAAGGACCCGATGTTGTAGCCCAGTTACTTCATTATTTGGAGAGTAATTGGATGTTTCTTTCATAAATACTTCTCTACCTTATATCTGCATTATATCTTCATTAAAAGTACCTATCAAGAAATTATATGAAGACATTTAAATATTAACCCAAAACATGGAAACTAAATGAATCTGCAAATTCACCATTGACATTGCTTCTGCATAGCTAACCTTGTACAGTGTCCGAGAGTATGGTTGCTATGGGAACACTCAGTCATGCATCCCTGGTAGTCTTTAGCCCGGATGCTTAACATAGTTGGTTTGTAGATGACATATTTAACATTCTTAGAAAGTACATCATGAGGCCTACATACACCATAGTCAATCCATCCCAATCGTAAGAACCAATTACCAATTTGCCATGTTATGTTGGAAATTGCCAAGTAGCTACCCTTAAACTTGGCTGCTGCTTAGCGACTTCAAGCTTCAAGCTTAGTGAAAACAGGCTTATGGCTTTGTTTTGATGTTGCAGTTATTTTCGTTTCTGATGTGGGTTTGCTTGTCTTCAATTCAAGTTCATGCATTCTGGAAGAGTTAAGGGTACTTTGCATTTTGCTTTCATGCTCAAATTGTTTTTTTAATCCTTGTCGGAAGATTGTCAGAGATTTACATCTAATATTTAGGTTGGTACGCTGCAATCACTCTGTCTTTCCTCCCCTCCTCCTAAAAAAAATAAAATAAAAAATAAACAAAAAAATAAAAAAATAAAGATTTAAAAATACTCAGCTGTAATTTTGTTTTAAATGGAGAAAAAAAAGTAAACTTCAATGTACTCTTTCCCATGTCTGTCATGTTACTATTACACAGACAAAAACTATTTGACCTGACCATTATTTCACCTATTAAGTGGGCGTGCTCTGAAACTTGACCCTAGCTGCGCTATAGTATCCCCTTCTTGGTGATGTTGCACTGTTGTCTGCAGTGATTCATGATAGCGCAGTCATGAAGAGGTTAGCTCAATATTAGTCACATCATAGGAACTCCCAAGGGGTATGTTAGATAAACAATGAATGATATCAAATGTGCTTCCAGAGCTATTAA